GTATATATAAGTGTGTAAGATAGATGACCATATTACCAAATTTCTGTTAGATCAATGAAAAGAATGTTTTGCACTGTCAATGTTTTGAGTGTCTATCCACTTTTTATGCTTTGATTTTGTAACTTGAACAAGCTATTTCTAAGATGACAATATGTAATGTATCAACTAGCAATTTCCTAGTGTTAATTTTTTTGATTCTGTATTATTCTACCTTTTTCTTTTTTCTATTTTGTTTTTTTTTCTTCAAATAAAAAACAAAATAAAATAAAATAAAATAAAATTGCTGCTTCCTTGAGGGGAGGAAGCAAAGTATACAGGTAAAAAAGGACAGATCTAGTGCATGATTCACAGCCTTATTGTTAAAAGACTTCAGGGATTTTTTTGAGTGAGTTTCCTGGAAGGGAAAACAGATTGTCTTGAAGCTGAGGTTTTTCTTAAATGTAGGTTTAAAAATCTTGATTTCAGCCAGGTGTGGCAGCACACTCCTGTAATCCCAGCATTCCGGAGGCTGAGGCAGGAGGATTGCTGCAAGTTCGAGACCATCCTGGGCCACAAAGTAAGCCCAACTCCAGCCGGAACTGCATAGTGAGACCTTGTCTCAAAAAGACAAAAAAAAAAAAAAAAAATCTTGATTTCCTATCTCCTTTCTACCTAGTTATTCCCCTCTACTTCATTATTTCCTCTGTCCTATCTCAAAACCATCTGGAATGCCCTTTGATAGTTTGTTAAAAATTGGACCTTTCTTTATTAACCTCACAATGCCATTTCTACGTTAAAATTAAATACAAAACATGAGAGAACCGGTAGCTTCTCATCCTAGCAAGCACTATCAGTTTTTTATTTTTAAATTTTTAATTTTATTTTTAATTTTTAATTTTTATATGAAATATGGAATGGTGCATCATTGTGATTTTAATTTGTATTTCATTAGTGATTATCCAATGCTTCTCTAATGAAACGTAAAATGAAAACCTTTATCACCGGACCCCTGTAGATACTTATAGCAGTTTTACTTATAATCATCAAAACTTAAAAACAACTCACATGTCAACTGGATAATGACTTTTTAAAATTTTGGTACATCCATGAAATATAATGCAGGAATTTCTTCTTTACTTAGGAAAACATAACTGTATAGGGAAAGGGAATAGTGTTACAGCTGTTAGTGTTATAGCGGTTATAGCTGAGCTAGTTAAAAGTAATTATAGGCAATCAAACAGGGCCTGGCTCTCGAAGAAGCCGGCCACAGAGACCAAAATGTCTTATGACCTTGGAGGAGACACGCACCTTTTGCTGTGGGCCAGACCTCAAAGCAGAAGGCAAAACAAATGCAACCACACCCTTCAGTATAATCCTTAGGGATTAAATCTGGATCACCTTGAGAAGCCAGAAGTCACCATCCCAACCCCCTTAGAAGAGTCACTGCAAGAATGCTGCTTGCTAAGTGACTCGCTTCCCCATTTGTCCCTAATTTGGTCAATTTTACCTGAACAGTTAAACTTATTGGTTGACCATAGTTCTTCCCACCTCATGCACATCTACCTGGGAGTTCCCAGTTTTCCCCACTTTAAACCCACCTCACTTCATGACTTTATAAAAATCCCTGGAAAATACAGAATCTTTGGCAACCGATTTAGGCCCCCTTCTGTCGCTCTCTCTCAGAGAGAAGCTTGCTTTCTCTCAATAAATATTTTTTGCTCTTAACCTCCATTGTTCCTAAAATTCATTCTTTGATTTTAGAGAACATGAGCACATACTGGTCGGAAATTTCATTCCCTAATATCAGTATGATATTACTATGATGGTTTTATGAGGAAAAAGCCATAAAATAAGCCCCCAAACACTACATTGTTAATGGAAATGTGCCAGAAAAATATGACTACACTCTGTGAAAATGGTAATCAAATATTGAAAGAAGCACATAAATTAGCAATAAAAGAGCTCAGAAATTAGGTGACTGGATCATAGAAGGTTATGAAATGAGAACTGATAGGACTCAGGAAATGTTAAAGGAGATTTTTTAAACGATGAGTCGAAATCAGGAGAGAGTGTATATCACACAAAGCACAGTAAGAGAAATAGAATGCAGAAAGAAATGCAAAAAAAGCAAAGACATTTTGACAAAATGGAATAAGGTGACAGTGTAAGCAAAGAAAGCCAAGTATACATACTTCCACAATCATAAATGAAAGCACAGTGATGACAATTATGTAACACAGGGAATGTATTTAACATGAACTTTAAATGGTTAAAACTAGTTTGTGAACAGTGACATGGTTAAAATTATAAATTTTATTTTAGCACAGTGAAAAATGTAAACCTGCCATGCATGGTTTAAGAGGCTGTCATTAAGCCCAATCCGGCAGTTTAGCAATTTAGTGAGACCGTGTCCCAAGGAAACAAATAAATAAATAAAACCTATGGCTGTTGCTCAGTGTGAAGACTCTTGGTTCAATCCCCCGTACTATAAGAAGAAAACAGAAGAAGAAAGGAAAGGAGAAAGAGGAAAGGAAAAGGGGACTTTACAGATATTGACAGCCATGCTTTCCATCTGGGAAGTCAACCTGGAACAGTTAACACTGAGCTTATACAGCTGTTGGATTTTTAAAATAGGAAAAATTGTTTTTATATTATGGAAAAATGGAGCAAGTCATTTGGAAGGAAAATCACATTGGATTAGATTTTTGGGTAGCAGCATTTTATGGAAGATAACAGAGCAGTGGTTTTAAAAATATTTAAGGAAAAATAATTTATATCTCATTAAATCTTTACGAAATCAAGCCATTGACAAACATAAAAATATGAAATGATTCAGGGAAGATTGTTTTAATCTTTCCTGAAGATTATACCAGAGAACAAATTTCAGATAACCAACAAATGCTTGAAAAGCACTCAACAAAACAAGTGGTGGACAGAAGATGGCATACAACATCCGTATGAGGTTACTCTAAGGGGAAAGCCCAATGAGAGTCAAGTTATTTCAGCTGACGAAAAACTCCCCAAAACATTCAGCCACAGCGCTTAAAAAAATAAAAACCTACTTTACAACACTACTGAGTTGAATCTAAGCATTTGTACAGATGAAAAGCCTCAAATCCAAATTCAAAATGCCAAAACAAATGAACAGAGAGGAATATATGAAAAATGAATTTCCTGGACTCAGGAAATAGGTAAAAATGGAGTTTCTAGAAAGAAATAATAACTAAGGTAATATTTAAATTTTTATCTGTGGAAACATTCTGGAGATAAAGGAAGATACACATGTACATTTAGAAAAGGCTCACGCTGGCCACGGATCTCAGTGATACCACACTATGTAGCATGCTAGGCCCTTGGCTTCACAACCAGCACCACCATCACCACACACACACAGATGGCTCATTGTGAATCGAGACTGTTGATCAGAATGGTTACCTCCAAGTCTATAAAACTGTTAGACTTTCAAGATAATGAAGAAAAATTCCTCTGGGCTTCCAGGCAGAAAGAAATTAGCAATAGACTCGTCACTAGTGAATACAGAGTAAAACACCCATGAATAAACATAGTAAAAGCAAAAACCATGATAAATTCCACTATATTAAACAGAATTATGTGATGAATGCCATGAGCAAAGACAAGCGACAAAATAAGGAGAAATACTTAGACATATCACAAAAAGCTTATCTCCTTAATGAAAATAATTTCCTGAAAAATCTAGACCAATAAGACCATCAACCCAATAAAAAATGGACCAACGATATGAAAAGAAGACTTGCAGGAAAAGAAATGCAAATGACAGACATAGAAAAGATGTTCAAGCTTTAGTTATATAATGAGAAATACAAATTACAGCTATACTAAAGAAAACTATTCTAAAGCATTTCTTACCAAAATCCAAAAGTTACACAATATACTGTGTAGACTGGAGAAGTAGTCATTTTAATATATTTCTGGGAGACATGCTTACATAAGCATAAACTGCATAGGGGAGGATATGTTAGTATCCAACAAAATTACATGTACATTTATCCTTTGGCACAGGCATTTAACTTTTAGGAGTCTTTTCTAGAAATACATTGAAATAAAATACATTTGTCAGCTGGAAATGGTGACACACACCTGTAGTTCTAGTATTCTGAGAACCCTGAGGCAGGAGGATCACAAGTTCAAGCCCAGTTCGGACAATTTAGTGACTTAGCAAGAATGTGCCTTAAAATAAAAATAGGCTGGGGATGCAGCTTAGTGCCAAGGCCATGGATGGCTTCAATCCCCAGTATCACAATGAATAAAAATGAACTATTTTTATATAGTCACTGCAGCTTTACTAGCAAAAGATTGAAGCAACTAAAATGCCCACGAATGGGGGATTCGTTGGATACAGTATAGCACATCTTAACAGTGAACCATCTCCAGGTACATGGTGCCCCTTCCACGCCACCCTTTCCCCAGAGAAACAGCATGTAGAACAATTTAGAAGCAGAAGGCGGCAGCAACAAAAAAGGTGCCAAGGGAAGAGAGACTTCTTTAGATGTAACTTTATGAGAGTTCTGCAACTATAATTTGTTTTTAGTTTGGCCATAAATTCATATATATATATATATATATATATATGTACATATATGTATACACACATTGAAAAATAAATTTTAAAATGTGGAATGAAAAAAATCTGAAAAGGAATTGGAACAAATTTACACAACTATATATATTGTGGTTACATAACCAACAGGAAAAAACTTATAGTTGTAAGAGATTTTGGTCTGTACCTTCAAAAAATTTAGTGAGAAAACTCCTTGGACAAATACATGCATATATTCTCAGTCATTTCGTTTTTGCAGCGATGCATTGAACCAGTGATACTATTTTCCTTACGGGTTCAGGGAGTTTAAGTCCCTTGCTTTAGATTACTAATTAAGAGTTACTAAATAGGGGATTCAGATTTAAACCCGGAGCTATGTGATTCTAATATTTGTGCTTTTCTTACTACATTATTTCAGGTTATACATCAAATTTTAAGAAGAAAGAACATCAGGACCTGAAGGTTCGGTTTAAACCTATAGTTGCGCTGCTCAGAAAATAAGCGTGAAGGCTCTAATATGGTGTTTATATATTCTTCATGCAGAAGCAGTGTACTAAAGGAGAGAATTGTAAGTGTTCTTTTATTTATAGTGGGGAAATGTCACACATTTCCCTTATATTGTTGTTGGAAATAAGTTTTATAAAGTGGTAGAGGACTTTGAGTATGGGACAGTGGTACCCCACTTGCTAGCATTTTCAAGGTCCTGGGTATAATCCTTAATACTGCCAAAAACATTTTTGCAAAGTTGTCACTGATAACTGAAATTAGAAAAAAATGAATAAAAAATATGATGTAGCAGAAAATTAATAAACTTAGCAGGCATAGATTTTCACAATGCTCTTTTTATTGTGTATTTTTTGGCTTTTTGAGACGGTTTTATCATGCAGTTCAGGCTGGCCTTGAACTCACAGAGATCCTCCTGCCTTTTCCTCCCAAATTCTGGGATTACAGGCGTGCGCTACCATGCCTGGGCCACAGTACTTTTAATTAAGAGCAAAAATCCCCAAACCAAGCAGAGTGGTACTTCTCTATAACCCCAGCACTCTTGCAGGCTGAGGCAGGACAGTCATAAATTAAAACTTAGTGTTTTAGAAGACAGTGTCTCAAAAAAGAAAATAAAAACTAAAAACAAATAAAGCCCACCACCACCAACAACAACATAGTCCAAGAGCTCTTCTAAGTTTTTGCTGTAAAGTAATAGAAAGATGAAAAGGGAAAATTTTACCAAGCATGTAACAGGAAGAATGTGTCCCTTAAATAAGGAAAAGTTTTGTACATCTCTTTTATACAAAATGCTAGTTCAGATAAATTGTTTCCTCCTATTGGAGATAGAGATTTCAGAGGTACTAAAGCTCCATCTACCCAAGTCAGGCCTTCATATTTCTACTGGTTTCCCTTGACTATAAATGTGTTTTTCATCCAGTTCAATGCTGTGTGTGTGTGTGTGTGTGTGTGTGTGTGTGTGTGTGTGTGTTGTTGTTGATGTTTGTTTTTTGGTATTGGGAATCAAATCAGACCTCGTGCTTGCCAGGCAGGCGCTTGTACTGCTGAGCTATTTTCCTGGCCCCTGTTCCTGTTAACAGTGCCAGAAGCGTGTTTACAAAGTGCAGGGTGAATGGTTATGGAAGAAACCAGTACCACAGAGTGAACTTGGGTGAACAAAAAAAAGAAGGTAAAAGCAAAAATACCAGTGATGTAGGGGAATGAAATTCCTGACCTACTATCTGTCCAGTACAAGTTCGTGTTCTCTAAAATGGAAGAATGAGTTTTAGGAACAATGGAGGTTGAGAGCAGAATATATTTATTGAGAGAAAACTCCTGTCTAACAGAGAAACAGAAGGGGCCCTGAGTAGGCTGCCAAAGATTCTGTGTTTTCCCGGGATTTTTATAGAGTAAAATCCTGAGGTGAGGACTCTAAAGTGGGGGAAACTGCAAACTCGGAGGTGGACAGGCATGAGGTGGGACAGAGCTATCTGTGGCCAATCAGTAAGTTTAACTGTTCAGGTAAAACTGACCAAATTCGGGACAAATGGGGAAGCAAAGTGGCATTCTTACAGAGCAGTGACTCCTCTGTGGGGGCTGGGAGGGTGATTCCGGCTTTCTCCAGGTGGTCAGACTTCATGCCTAAGGATTATACTAAGGGTGTGGGTGCATTTGTTTTGCCTTCTGTCCTGAGATCTGGTCCACAGCAAGAGGTGTGTGTCTCTCCAAGGTCATAAGACATTTTGGTCCTCTGTGCCAGCTTCTTCTTTGAGAGCCCATCCCTGTCTGACTGCCTATAATATTTCTAAATAGCTGAGGTGCCTGTAACAAAAGTACATGCTGCGTCTGAAAAATGCGCGGGTTATCATGCATGATAACACAATGCTACTTTTGAAAATGTCTGCCTCTTGAAGAAATTGGGGAAGGAATTTATCTGTTTGTTTTTATCTGTAACTCATTATGATGGAAATCTTATTTGTGATTGACTTATAGCAGTGAGAGAATATGTTGGGTTTACTGTAAAGACTTTAAAAAAATAAATTTTGAAAATTTTTCTGTTGTTCAGAGGCTGTGCTGATCAAAAGAAAAAAGTTGAAACAAATTTGCAAATGAAATATAACTTCCAAGGTAAGATATAGTATAGCTCAAGATCAAGATTATCACTCCTCTTGACAGATTTGTAGCTTATGCTGAGCGCACTATATGCTGAGTATACTAAAATTTTATCAAGAATAAGTACAATATTCTGATTTAAATTTTTCAAAGCAATTGCAGAAGAATTCAACTTCCACCTGCCAAGATATGCTAGATAAAAGCCCTTGAATCTCTTCCTCTACCAAACATGTAAAAGCTAGATTCAGTGTAAAACTAGATTCATATAAAAATGTCCTTTAAAATGAATGTAAGAAAATAAGGGAAACTTGTCACTAGGAACAAAACCAGTGTGTTTCGCAAAGTCAGCACGTGCTGAAGTCACTGAATACTTTAGTGCAGTCGTAGCTTTATTGACAGGGAAGCTCTGTGCATGGAGAAGATGACGGGGCAGCTCTGTGCATGGAGAAGGATGACGGGGCAGCTCTGTGCATGGAGAAGGATGACGGGGCAGCTCTGTGCATGGAGAAGGATGACGGGGCAGCTCTGTGCATGGAGAAGGATGACGGGGCAGCTCTGTGCATGGAGAAGGATGACGGGGAAGCTGTGCATGGAGAAGGATGACGGGGCAGCTCTGTGCATGGAGAAGGATGACGGGGCAGCTGTGCATGGAGAAGGATGACGGGGCAGCTCTGTGCATGGAGAAGGATGACGGGGCAGCTCTGTGCATGGAGAAGGATGACGGGGCAGCTCTGTGCATGGAGAAGGATGACGGGGCAGCTCTGTGCATGGAGAAGGATGACGGGGCAGCTCTGTGCATGGAGAAGGATGACGGGGCAGCTCTGTGCATGGAGAAGGATGACGGGGCAGCTCTGTGCATGGAGAAGGATGACGGGGCAGCTCTGTGCATGGAGAAGGATGACGGGGCAGCTCTGTGCATGGAGAAGGATGACGGGGCAGCTCTGTGCATGGAGAAGGATGACGGGGCAGCTCTGTGCATGGAGAAGGATGACGGGGCAGCTCTGTGCATGGAGAAGGATGACGGGGCAGCTCTGTGCATGGAGAAGGATGACGGGGCAGCTCTGTGCATGGAGAAGGATGACGGGGCAGCTCTGTGCATGGAGAAGGATGACGGGGCAGCTCTGTGCATGGAGAAGGATGACGGGGCAGCTCTGTGCATGGAGAAGGATGACGGGGCAGCTCTGTGCATGGAGAAGGATGACGGGGCAGCTCTGTGCATGGAGAAGGATGACGGGGCAGCTCTGTGCATGGAGAAGGATGACGGGGCAGCTCTGTGCATGGAGAAGGATGACGGGGCAGCTCTGTGCATGGAGAAGGATGACGGGGCAGCTCTGTGCATGGAGAAGGATGACGGGGCAGCTCTGTGCATGGAGAAGGATGACGGGGCAGCTCTGTGCATGGAGAAGGATGACGGGGCAGCTCTGTGCATGGAGAAGGATGACGGGGCAGCTCTGTGCATGGAGAAGGATGACGGGGCAGCTCTGTGCATGGAGAAGGATGACGGGGAAGCTGTGCATGGAGAAGGATGACGGGGAAGCTCTGTGCATGGAGAAGGATGACGGGGCAGCTCTGTGCATGGAGAAGGATGACGGGGAAGCTCTGTGCATGGAGAAGGATGGGAAAGAGAGAAAAATCCTTGAATCCTTCAGAAAGGTAAGAAGGCTCATCAGAGACCCTACAGAGGTCTCTATTTCTGGGGATAAAGTCTTCCCTAATAATTCCTGGTTACTGATCACATTCTTTTAAGGTTAGAGCCTTAGTTTAGTCTATTTTCATTGTTCTAAAACTCCCCAAGTGGTGGAAGGTCTGTAATATTCTTAGGTATCTGATTGAAAAAAATTATAAATCCTCCATGAAAGGTTGTACAGTTATAAAATTGTTACAGTTAAAATTGTAACAAATAGGGGCTGGGGATTTAGCTCAGCAGCATAAGTACCTGCCTTGCAAGCAGGGGGTCGTGAGTTCGATCCCCGGTACCGATAAAAATGAAAAAGACAAAAAAAAAATTGTAACAAATAAATGCATACTTTTTTAAAATCACAAAACATAACAGAATAAATAAAAACATTAGTAAGAGTCAACATAAACAGCAAAAAGATCCATAGAGATTTCACTGTCAGAAGTATCCATTTCATAAAATAAATGTTCAATATGTTTAATAAATAAAAGAGATTCTGCCAGGCTTGGTGGTGCATGCCTATAATCCCAACACTCAGTAAATGCGGTGGTGGTGGTGGTGGGGGAATCACCATGAGTTCAAGGCCAGCCTAGGTTACATAGTAAGTTTAAAGCCACCTGAGCTACATAGCAAGACCCTGTATCAAAAAAATAAATAAATAAAATAAAGGGACTCTAAAACATAAAATATCAGAGACTGTGAAAAGCACATTTAAAAATGAATCAGTACAAGTCAGAAATAAAAAATAGATCACCAAAAATTAATTGGGTTAATGTAGCATATAGGTACAGCTAAAAAAGAAAGAAACTAGATGGATCCTAATATGGTACAGAGAATAACATATATAGGAAATGTAAGAGATAATGAGGTATCTAATTATAGAAAAAAGTATGAAATGTACCCATTGAAAATTTGCCAGAATTGATGAAACACACATATCTTCAGATTTAAAGAGACCAAAGAATTGTAAATAAAAAACATATATAGACATGCTGATAAACTGCAGAATGCCAAACACAAAGAGACTTGTAAACTATAATTCACACTAAAAGAGTATTGTTTTATCTAGTGTTATCCCTCTGGAAGGAAAATGGTTCTAAAAGGAAATGAAAGAAGCAATAATAAAGAAAGTGGGTAACGTGAATATATATATAAGATGATATTGTGATTAACAAAAGATAAAACTACGATGTTGAACTGACCTACGATGACATGTAAGCCAGTAGCAGTTGATTGGAATTTTGATATTCTAATGTGTGTGTACTTTGTTAACTAAAGATAAAGTACTATTGGAA